TGGGTTAAATTCCTGGTGATGACATATACAGGAATCAATCAATAAATACATAAATAAATAGAAAACAATTCTCTCTCTCTCTCTCTCTCTCTCTCTCTCTCTCTCTCTCTCTCTCTCTCCCTCCCTCCCTCCCTGTCAAATTGATAAAATTTTTAAATGACAAGAATTTCAATTAAATTTTGAGAGTAGAGCATTAAATAAAATGTGTGGTCCTTCAACATGTGAGGCCCTGTGTGACTAAAGGATTGCATACCATGATGTTGGCCCTATTTACAAGGTCCGGAATCCTGCATCTGTTCTTGATGCTGTGAAGCTATCTTTCTATAGACTTGAATGAAGTCTCGTGATATAAAAAGAACAAAAGTACTGAAGAACTTTTACTAAATCTGTCCCCAAATCACTCTAGTTTCTCCACTGAAGGCATCCTGGGGCACTGGTGCCTTTGATGAATTAGGGGTGGGAGGAAAGCAAGGCCACCAAGCCACAGGTCTGATGACTTGTACTCTCAGAAAGGAGAAGCATAGACCACTTTTTATCGTAGCAGTTCAGGATATGATGATAAGCAGGATGTGAGGGAAAGAAAGAGGAAGCCCTGGGGAACTCCCACCAACCCCATAAAGGAGGGAATGTTCCATGTCTCCTAGTTGTAAAATAGCTTCCATACAATGGGAATCAGATAAAGTGAAGGGATGTGCCCTATGTGTAAAAAATGTGTAGTTTTCTATTAATGCACAAAATTTTCCTACACATGCAAAGCCTTATTTTCTGTTTTGTAACTACAAGATTAAAGCTAACCTTTGTTCAAGTATAATAAAATACACAAAATTAATATAATTAGAATGACTCTAAATCAAAATGTTATTGAGTTACAGAGGGGGTGAAGCATTTGAAGATGTGGAGTTCATGGAAAAGCTCTTTCATAACCAAATCATTTATATCTTTATTATTGGAGCCTGATTTGCATAGGTGCTGCAGCCAAAAACTTCCTGATCAGGTCTAGACATCTAACCTATTACTCACCCAATCCTTATGTTTTACTTCCACTGATCTTAAATAGAACCTGTTCACTCCATTTTTACTGATCCTTTCCTAGACCAAGCTTATATCATTTGTAGAGTTCTTTTTTGGGCTTTTGCCTGCCCCTGCTAACTCAATGCTCAACTTTCATGTCTTTCAAATTAAATTAGGGACATGACATAGACCCTATGGTTCACATCAAGTAGATCAAGTGTATACTTGAATATAAACCTAATATAATTCTCAGAAAAGCCAGGTGGGATTCCTGTCTGAAATTGTGGTGATGCACTTCTAAGTGCTATGCAGAACATTGACTCCAGTGTATGAATTACCAGGTGCTGAAGTTATCTTACTTAGACACCACCTCTCTCCCTAATCTCTAGCCACCTGATGTGTTTTTTAATGTCTCTTGATTTTGACCATCCTATCTAATAAAAGAGAAACATGCAAACTGACCATACCTCTGCTATGCTACCAGCCAATAGGAGTGAGTATGCAAATTAACCCAACCAAGATGGTGAGGCCCATAGTGGCCAGGTGATGCTGGGGCTACCAGGGCAAATGAGAGACACAAACCCACAAGGATGCCAGCACCCAGCAGCCCCAAGCCCTGTCCCATGGCTGTGTTGGGGCTTCAGGGGCCAGATCTGAGACACAAACTCCATAGGCCTGGCATCTAGCAGCCCCAAGGCCTGGGGCTGAGGCCCTGGGACTGCTGGGGGGGGAGATTGGGGGAGGGCAGCGGAGACACAAACCTGCAAGAAACCTGTGGAAAGGGAGATAAGCTATCATAACTTTATCTCCCTTTTACAAGATGAGAAAACTGCCCCTGGTTTATTTAGTGATGTGGCCCACACCTTTCTACAAACACAGGGTATGTTAAGACCACTCCCAGGAAGGTCTGGTCAGAATACAGTCTCCAGGGAATAACACTACTGTGGCAAATCACCTAAAGGAAACAAGCTTTTGTTGGGTTTATTCTGAAGGTCAGAGAGCATGCCACCCCAGCATATGCTGTGTTGTTATATTGATGATACTGAGCTGCAGATGCTTGAAAAACAGCAAGTGCATGCAGGGGCTTTCACTGTAGCCTCCTTATCTGCCTAAAATTGGACCCTCCAAAAAGAGCTTAAATGGTATAGGTTCCCTTGACGGGAGAAGTGTCATCAGGCAGAGAAGACTGACTCCTGTAGAAGTTGACATCACACCCAAACTTTGTTACAAACTATTTCTCCCACCTCCATTCATCTTCCCTATAAATCAGTTACTCTCTTCTAAGAGGCCTACATCTCCCATCCCCTTTCCCTAGGAAGAAGGTATTAAAAATATGCATTCTAAGCCACCTTGGGGTGTTACTCATTTTTCCCTGGGATCTCCCACATATACACTAGATACACATGTTAATGAATTTTGTTTTGCTCTTTGTGATCTGTCTTTCATTGCAAGGGGTTCCACTAATAACTCAGAAAGATAGAGGAAAACTATTTTTCCTCCTCCATAATTCTATCTCGGAAAATCAAATCCCCAGCTGAACAATGAGGTTGGCTCAAATACCAAGCCATCTTGACACTCATGGTTGCTGGTGGGAGTTTAAAGTGGTTCAACATTTTTGGAAGATGATTTGGCAAACTCAATAAAAATGTTCAAGCTACATCCAAGAGTCTTCTTATATGAATCACATCTGCTGAGAAGAAGCATAAGCACATAAGCCCTGGTCAGAACCCAGGATGCTACTGTGGGCTTCCTTTCCACGATAGGAAAACCTGGGAACAACCTGCATTTTTAGGACAAGGTGGCATCTAGATTAATAAAAGGATAATATCCTAATTAGTCTGAACATCTTCTGGATATCCTTCCAAAATTCCTTCCTGACAAAGCCATGCTGGTGAAGCCAAGGCAGAGGAGGTTAAAGGTGATCAGGCAAGCAGGGGAGAGCAGTTAGGGTGAACAGGCTGTCAGGGGAGAGCAGTTAGGGGGTCAGACTGGCAGGCAGGTGAGTGGTGAGGAGCCAGAGGTCCTGAGGAGTCCCAGATTGAAGAAAGTGCAGGCTCAGCTGAGGGGACCCCCTTACCTGCACAAATTTTGTGCACTGGGCCTCTAGTAGGAAATAAAATGGGAAATACCCTAGTATCCCTTTTGGTAGTACACTGACAGAACATATATTCAGATTTGCTTCCATAGTTTTTGCTTTATAGTTCCATCAAAATTATTGATAACGGATATTTTGTTATTATATGCCTAATATAAAATTCACCAAAAATTATCAATTAAAAACAAAAACAAAAAAACAAAGCTCTCCAGGTCCATCTACGCTGTCACAAAGGATATACATTATATATATATATATATATATATATATATATATATATATATATATCTTTTTTCTTTTTTTATGGTTAAGTAATATTCCATCGTGTAAATATAACACAGCTTTTTTTAAATATATTTATATATTTTTTATTTATTTCATAGAGATAGGGTGAGAGAGAGAGAGAGAGAGATAGAAACATCAGTGATGAGAGAAAATCATTAGTCGGCTGCCTCCTGCATACCCCACATGGGGGATTGAGCCTGCAATCCAGGCACATGCCCTGACAAGAAAAAAAACCGTGACCTCCTGAGCCACACTGGCCAGGCTACCATTGCTTTTTTACCCATTTATTTACTGATGGACACTCGGAATCCTTCCAAATGTTGGTGATAGTAAATAATGCTGCAATTGTGCTTAGTGAGATAAGCCAGTCAGAGAAAGACAAGTACCATATGATTTCACTCATGCGGAATCTAAAGAACACAATGAACTAACAAGCAAAATGGAGGCAGACTCATACATAGAGAGCAAGCTGACAGCTGAGGGTGGGCTGGGGGAATAGGGAGGGATTGAACAAAATATAAAGCAAAGCAGATATCTGAGAGAAGTATGGTTGTAAAATACACGTTATGGGGCAAGAACCACAGTGGGGAAGGTCAGTGAAAAGAAATGCAAGAAACTGAATGTGAGTTATCTTTTCTGTGCCCTCAAAGAACAGGAAGGAAGATGAGCAGAGAAGTGAGCTGAGCTAGGTGAGGCTGAAGTGGAGTACAGGAACCAGTTCATGCTGTGAGGTCCCCAGGAAAGGTTTTGGAGTTTATTCCTTTAGTGGAAAGTCATTCAAGCATTTTGGTTGAGGAGAGTAATATGATCAGAATTTTGGTTGCAGTTATTAAATATCATTTAGCTGTCATGTTGAAAGTGGATTGAAAAGGGTACAGAGATGTGAGGAGACTATCAGAGGATATGGTACAGACCAAGATAGAGATGACAGTGGCCAGGATGAGGCTGGTGATGAAGGCGTGAAGCAGTAGAAATGCACTTGAGAAATATCCTTACATTACAAACTATGAGACCTGGTAGTTTGTAATTGAAGGTAAGCTATAGGTGACTTCAAGGATGTTTTATGTTTTTAAGGTAAAATGGCTTGGAAAAATGGTGAGGTCATTGATGGAGTTAGTAGAGGTATAACAGTATCAGGAAGGAAGTTAAAGAGTTTAGTACAGGCCAAAACCGGTTTGGCTCAGGGGATAGAGTGTCAGCTTGCGGACTGAAAGGTCCCAGGTTTTTCCGGTCAAAGGCATGTACCTTGGCTGCGGGCACTGTCTTGGACAACAGTGTGGTGATTGCCGAGGATGAGGAGAGTGGAGGAGGGTATAGGAGTAATAGATAGAGAATTGGCTTGGGGTGGTGAACACACAATACATTGTACAGACAATGCGTTGTAGAATTGTGCACCTGAAACCTGTATAATTTTGTTAACCAGTGTCACCCCAATAAATTCAATAAAAATAAAAAATGAAAACATCAACATAAAAAAAAAATAAAACAGGTGAGATTGTGGTGATAGTTGTACAACACTATGCATTTACTACAAACCATGAATTATATACTTATAATGGGTGAATTTTATGGTTCTGTATGTTATAGCTCAATACAGTCTTTTAAAAACTGGTTTTAAAAAAGTAAAAGCAATGTATATACCCAACATAAACAATCCTAGCTTTTAAATATGTAAATAAATATAAAAATAACACATGCTTTTCTGTTGTTTTGATAGAGAGTACAAATATTTCAACGGCAGTCTTTTCAAGAGCTATTTGCGAAATGAGCAATTTGTTTTGTGTCTGGACTTCACAGGAAGTTTCCTTACTTGAACTTGGCTTGGAGGTTTGACTGAGTAAATTATTCCTTGAGTTTTGAATTATTCATCTTGGCTGCATGATACGCAAATCACACTGCACTCACTATGTCTAGAGGCACAGCACTGGGTCAGAAGCTGCATCAAGTTGCTGGCAAAGGATTTCTGTCAAGGGATCAGGGCTTTCCAACAGAATGGTAAGTTGCAATGTAACTCATGTTGCCCAGGCATTTAAAGTAAATAAATGCTGTTCTTAGGGGTTTCTTTAAAAAGTGCCATTTGTGCAATTAAGGTTTAAAGCAATGTTTAAATGAACTGTCTGAACTGTTGTTCATATGTGCATGTAGGGCAGCAAAAGTAACTGAAAGGGAGTCATATATTTTTCCTTTACATTTATTTTTTTTAACAAATTAAATGCCTTGTTTAAATAGCCAAATACAAAATTTATTTTCTCCTAAGAGGTTTATTGTACTTGCTTAAGTCTTGGTAACTTATATTTCATTTTTTAAAAAGGAATAAGAATTATTTAAATAAATATAACTCCTTGAAAAAAATGTAAAGTTTTTAAATCATATGAAACAAATATCATATATTATATATAGAAAACAATGTGTTAGAGGAAATATTAAAATTTAAATTTACCAATTGTGTTTGTAAAAATGGCATTATTCAAGAATATAACTCACTAGGGCAAAAGGGAAAATTGCAGAAATCATGCTATTATGTATTCCAAAATGTTTTATAATTAGTGAGTTATTTTTAAGAAATTAAAAAAAAAAACATTTGACACCATATTTTAACATTTTAAGCCTTTGACTTCTGGTGTAGTTTCTGCAATATATAATATACCTCAAGTCGTCAACATTAAATTATTATATTGCTTTTCAGTGTAAATATGTTCTTTATTCAAATGGATTATTAATGAAAAAACAATTTCATAAAAATATACTCATATATTACTGTGTAAATGTGGCTTAATAAAATAGTGAAGAATTAATATTTCATAAATGGCCTTAATATGATGAATATAAGGAGAACAATTTAAAAGCTATTAAATTATCAAATATGTTTTTAATTTGTTTCAAAAGCATACACCTTTAAAAGGCTGAATATAGTCAAAGTGAAAGAAATATATTCTCAGGTTAAAATTAAGAACTGGTTATGTGAGTAAAATGAATATTCCTTATAGTTTAATAATTCTAACAGGTATACATATAATTTTGAATAAATAATTAAAAAGATTCTACTTTAATTGTCAATATCTAAAAACCTGCTAAAAATAATTTGTCCAAATCATTTATAGCAATTTTTATTTTGTAAAAATTAAAAATCAACCACTAGAAAGTGGAAGAGAGAATATTATTTTTTCATGAGGAAATTTCCCTTCAATTGGGAATTTTCCTTAAAGGACCAGCTTATTTCTTCAACTAAGAACACACTTAACTATAAACATCATCAAACTTAAAATCTATCACCCTGAAAATTGTGGATCCTGGTGAGGTTAAGTTGGTTTGAAAATATTAGACAGACTTACATTTATAAAACCATAATTTATTAGTATTATGAATTTAGGAATAATATTTTTAAGTAAAATGAATCTATCAAAATCAGATTGAAAAACATCACACTTCTATAAAAATAGATTCAAATAAATAATAAACTGTACTGATATCCAAAAATTAGGAGTCATTGGTTTACAGAAATTTTGACTTCTTTTTGCCTCTCTGCATTTTCTGGGTGTTACATAATAAAATGTTTTTGTTGTGTGTTTTTTTAAAGAATAAAGAAAAGAGTCTGAGAAGCAGGTCAAAGTTGTCTAGCCATTCATTTTTCTTATTTCAGCCCTGATATTTTCTATTCCTGTTTTCTCCCTAATTTCCAATCCCAATGGACAACTCAAAAACAGAAGAATCCATGGCTTCAACTTGGCTGAGTGTTGGCTATTGGAAAATCGGCCTTTTAGTTATAGCTGTCTTTTTCTTTCTTGGCAGCCAAACTTTTGTGCTGCATGTACACTACTGACATAAGTCAGTTCAGTACGTTTAAGAACTACTAGGCAGAAAAATAAGACTTGTAGCCAGAAAAAGAGGAAACTGAAAAAAATGAAACAAATACTTTTTTTTGTATTAAAAACTTTCTATTGTCTTAATATTCATTTGAGTATGTACACCATTTTTTTTAAGTACTCCCAAAATAACCAAGTTGCCCAAAACTGAGCTTTGAAGAGCTACATTTAAAGGTCGGGCTAGCAAGGATTAGACCACAGAGAAGTCTATAGAGAAAGGACGACAGGAGGTTGCCAGTCAGAGAAGGCAAGGAAGAGGGTGTCCAGAAGTTGTGGAACTGAAAGCAGCTAGGAAGAGAGAAGTAAGAGTGAAAACTTACCATTGGTGTAAAAAATCAAGCCTATTGTTTAAAAAATACCTTTTTAAAAATTTAACCTTTTTCTTGTATTTCTAAGAATTTTTAATATTATTTAAATACAAGCTGATAAAGAAAACAAACACCTAGATAAATCAAAAGGAGAATGCACTCTATAAAAATCACCTGGCATCATCACTACTGATAAAACTATTAATACTTTGGTACATGTCCTTGACTTTCTAATGTTTATTAATTCCAGATGTGAACTCCTAAGTCTTTAATTATCCTTCATTTCTTAAAGTGATCCTAGAAAATATGTATTCAATTTTTCTTCCTTTCAATGTGTAACTAAATCACACCTACCACTATTACAATTGCCATTTTTTAATATTAGTTATATTTTTTGCAGTGTCAGCTTTCATAGTACAATAGAGCAATGGGCTTAATTAGGTGGACTTAATTACAGATTTGAGTCAAGTGTTTATATTATAATCTCTCCACTGTGCAAGCATTTTTGGGTCATCTACTATCTGGTAGTCACTGTGCTGGGTCTATGAGTAACATAAAGTTGAGGGAAGTGTTAGAAAGAAGCTCAGTATAAAATGAGAGCATAAAATGTGAGGATCTAATTCAGACCACTGGGTCAGAGAGGCTATGTTGGGAAACCCACACTTAAACTGATATCTGAGAGAAGTATGGTTGTAAAATACACGTTATGGGGCAAGAACCACAGTGGGGAAGGTCAGTGAAAAGAAATGCAAGAAACTGAATGTGAGTTATCTTTTCTGTGCCCTCAAAGAACAGGAAGGAAGATGAGCAGAGAAGTGAGCTGAGCTAGGTGAGGCTGAAGTGGAGTACAGGAACCAGTTCATGCTGTGAGGTCCCCAGGAAAGGTTTTGGAGTTTATTCCTTTAGTGGAAAGTCATTCAAGCATTTTGATTGAGGAGAGTAATATGATCAGAATTTTGGTTGCAGTTATTAAATATCATTTAGCTGTCATGTTGAAAGTGGATTGAAAAGGGTACAGAGATGTGAGGAGACTATCAGAGGATATGGTACAGACCAAGATAGAGATGACAGTGGCCAGGATGAGGCTGGTGATGAAGGCGTGAAGCAGTAGAAATGCACTTGAGAAATATCCTTACATTACAGACTATGAGACCTGGTAGTTTGTAATTGAAGGTAAGCTATAGGTGACTTCAAGGATGTTTTATGTTTTTAAGGTAAAATGGCTTGGAAAAATGGTGAGGTCATTGATGGAGTTAGTAGAGGTATAACAGTATCAGGAAGGAAGTTAAAGAGTTTAGTACAGGCCAAAACCGGTTTGGCTCAGGGGATAGAGTGTCAGCTTGCAGACTGAAAGGTCCCAGGTTTGATTCCGGTCAAAGGCATGTACCTTGGCTGCGGGCACATCCCTAATAAGGGGTGTGCAAGAGGCAGCTGATCGATGATTCCCTCTCATCGATGTTTCTTACTCTCTATCCCTCTCTCTTCCTCTTTGTAAAAATCAATAAAATATATATATTATATATTAAAAAATATTTTTTTAAAAAGAGTTTAGTACAGGATTTCTGGAGGCAAAGAAGCCTGTAAGTGATGTATCAGTGGCAATACGTATAAATAAATAACACTTATAAGACAGGCCCAGGCTTTGATATACATTTGAGAGTTGATATATGGATGATCATTAAAGCTAGAAAGTGGATGAGCAGCATAAAGAAATTCAGTACTGAACCTTGAGGAACTTAACATTTAACACTTGGGTCAAGAAGGCTCAAAAAGAGCCTGCAAAGAACAAGGCAGAAAGAAGAAAAAATAGGAAATTGTCATTTCATAGACTGTAAAGGAAGAGAGTGTTTCCAGAAGTCATGGTATAAAAAATAGCTTGAGAAGTCAAGAAAGACTTGTAGTGAAAAATGACCATCAGGTTGAGCTTTGGTTGGGTGATGGCTCAGAAGCCAATTGGAGTAAAGGGAATGGGGAGTCAGGATACCAAAGCAATTAGTGAAGACAGCCCTTTGTTGTACTTCAAGCTAATGAAAGAAACCTTTGAAACCAGAGAGAGAGTTGTTAATGTCTGCTCTTTATTTTTGAGACAAGAGAGAGTGTTTATATGCCAATGGAAAAGATGTAGCTGAGCAGGAGAAGGCTGAAGAGACCGGAAAGAGAGTTTGGATAACAGTTAGCAATCCTGAGAATTTGGGAATGAGTTGGATCTAGAGTAAGCCCAAAGGAATAGATATTCTCTGTTGTCACTGGAAGGAAGGAGAAGACAGGTACAGAGGCCTGAACCAGAGAGTGGACATCCATGAATAGGCTGTCCCTCAGGGAACTCGAAGACAAAAACATCTGCTAATGAGGAGTAGAGAGAATAGGTAGAAGTGGTTTGAAAAATTGGGAAAGATATGAAATGGAGAACTGTAATAAATTCCTGGGCATGTGAAAAAGTAGTAGAGCAGCAGAATCGCATGCACTCCAAGATGGAGATAAGCCAACCTTCTCAGTTCCTCAGCAGCATTCAAGCGCCTGCTGCCCAAGGAAGTTCCTATCCAGCTTTGTCTAGAGTTGGACTCAGTGGCTTGTCGCCCTGGAAAGACTTGAGAAGATGATCAGAAGAACTTACAATGTTTTAAAGAGTGATTAAAATAACATCAACATATTGAATTTGTCATATTGACAAGTCCCATGAATTGTTTTCATAAATGAAACACTCTCAAAACACCAGCAATCTTTCACTGAAGAAGGCCACTTAAATTTGGCAAAATATATGAATTTTCCAGCTACTTTTGAAATGGTAAATTCTGCTCAATGTTTTTCATGTTTCCCATAAAAAGCATTTCAAGTCATTTGACCTTAATTTGCTCTACTTACTATAATTCTCATATTGAAAAAATCGTTTGGTTGCAACCACTAGCACACAGAGCTCTATATGACAGAGATTTTTGGAAAATTTTATTTTCAATATTTCTTTTTATCCTAACTAGAAATAAGTAGGATTCAATATTCAATAATGGCAAGACAGTACATTTTTAAGAAACTAGAGTTCTTTAAGTACCCTACTCAGCCAGACACAATCTGTTCTCATTACAAGAGAAGACATGGCAGGTGAGCGAGATATATGTGGGTTGAATGAATCAGGTTGCTTATTTTCATGACCCCTATTTATCAATAGAAGATGCTAAGATATAGGTATTTTGTTAGATGTAAGACCTGAGGAAGATACTTAATTTTCTAAGCCTCAGTGACTTCATGTGTAAAATGAAAATAATAACATTCCCCGCCTCTTTATTAAATGAGATAATGATTGAAAAGTGGTGAGTATAGTGCCTGGTAAACTATAAGCTTTCACTAAATAGTGGCTGCTGTTATTATTATTTCTACTATTTTCAATTTTATATGTTAGACTGTAAAGAATCATGTTTTAAAACTGGATTTTCAGTTCATGAATTTGATAAAAATAACCTTAATACCTTAACAATATAGAAGCAAAGTAAGAGCTATTGGAAGGTCAAGACTGGAGTTATAACAATCCTTGTTTCCTCTTCTAGATTATGATTCCATCTAGTTTAACTCAGCAGAATCTGCCAGACAACTACAGTGTGCTGGGGACCATGGTAGGTCCAGAAAAGTTCCTCTTCACTCACTTCACTGCACTTCTCATTGGTCTCTTTGCAGTTTTCAAATCCTCTATGTGTGTTTCCACCTCACAGCCCTTGCACATGCCTTTCCTAAAGTCTGGAATACTCTTTATTATACACAAGGTGGGGCAAAAGTAGGTTTATAATTGTGGGTATGTGAAACACAGAGTTTATTCTTGTATTATTATTTATTAACTAAAGGCCCAGCACACGAAATTCATGTGTGGGTACAGTCCTTAGGCCTGGTCTATGATCAGAGCCATCTTCCCAGACTGCCTGCAGCCAGCCCCGCCCCCTACCGCCACCCACCCCCAGCTCCCTGTTCGCTGTTGGGTAACCGGAACCTTCTGGTAGAACCAAGAGGTCAGCCATTCAATCCACTCACTAGCCCCATCCCCTCCGTGTGTTGCCCTCTGTTTTGGGGGTGACTGGTGGGGTAGGGGCCTTAGCCTGATGCAACCTGTGTCCCCCACCACTGACCCCCAATTCCCCATTCACCATCGGGCGATCAAAGCCTGCCAGTCAGGGAAAGGGAACAAGAGGTGGTCAGTGTGCCTCATAGTGATTGGTTGAGCAGTCATTCTGGTCATTCCGTCATTAGGGTCAATTTGCACATTACCCTTTTATTATGTAGGATTATTGTATTATTTTCCATAGGAACAACTACAACCCCCACCACCACCTTTTATGGTATGCAGTTATTTTTTTTCCAATGTCTGATTCTTCTCAAGGTATTATAAATTGTTTGAAATTAGAAATTTGTATTCATTGTTGTTATTCCCACTGGCCAGCACATAGTTCAAAGGTATTAATAAATATTTTTTGAAACATTAGTGACTCAGACATGCATAAGAATGTGTACTCCTTACTAATGTAAACCACTCTCCAGATAGTCAACTTTTTTGAACGACATTTTAGAGTTATTATTATGTTAAGTGCAATCATGTCCTTTGCCATCCTCTTATGTTTCATCCTTCTATTTCCTCTCTCTTCTTCAGGCATGGAACGCCTCTTGCAAACACTGGCTGGCCGCAGAGGCTGCCCTAGGGAAATACTACCTTTCGGTTTTTTATGGGATTGAGTTCATCGTGGGAGTCCTCGGGAACAGCCTGGTGGTCTACGGCTACCTCTTCTGCCTGAAGAACTGGAACAGCAGCAACGTCTATCTCTTCAACCTCTCCATCTCCGACTTCGCCTTCCTGTGCACGCTGCCCCTGCTAATAAAGAACTATGCCCTCGAGACGTGGACCTACGGGGACGTGCTCTGCATCAGCAACCGCTTCATGCTCCACGCCAACCTGTACACCAGCATCCTCTTCCTCACCTGCATCAGCATCGACCGCTACCTGCTCATGAACTACCCTTTCCGGGAGCACCTCCTGCAAAGGAAAGAGTTTGCCGTCTTTATCTCCCTGGTCATCTGGGTCCTGGTGACCCTAGAGCTCCTGCCCATGCTTCTCTTTATAAACCCGGCCCCAGGGGACAACAGCACCAGATGTAGGGATTACGCCAGCTCCGGGGACGCCAAACACAGCCTCATCTACAGCCTGTGCCTCACCTTCTCGGGGTTCCTCGTCCCCTTGTTCGTGATGTGCTTCTTCTACTTCAAGATTGCCGTCTTCCTGAAGCAGAGAGTCCGGCCGCAAGCCCCCGCCCTGCCCTTTGAGAAGCCCCTGAACCTGGTCATCCTGGCCGTGGTGATTTTCTCTGTACTCTTCACCCCCTACCACGTCCTGAGGAACCTGCGGATTGCCTCCCGGCTGTGGAACTGGACTCAGCCCCCCTGCACCCAGGTCATCATCCACTCCCTGTACATCATGACCAGGCCCCTGGCCTTCCTCAACAGCGTCATCAACCCCCTCTTCTACTTCCTCGTGGGGGACCACTTCAGGGAGTTGCTGACGAGCAAGCTGAGGCAGCACTGCAAGTCCCTGGCCTGCTTCAGGAGATGTGCCAGCAGACTGGTGTTTTCCTTCAGGAAAGGGTGAGGTGCCCCGGGACAGGACGTTTTATGTGAGGAGCACCAGCGGGAAGGCCAGGGAGAGGTGAATGGACATAAACCAGAGCGGGTCACAGATCCGCCCCTGACTCAACGACGTGGTGTGCCCAGAAGCACATAAAATGGGGAGAGGATGAGAAGCATTTATTTGCTCACTTAAAAAATTTTTTTGACAGAAGTCGGACAAGCAGGAAGAATTAGTCATATAAAATTCAAAATCCTAAGGAGATAGAATACCTCAATCGGTGTAAGAAGAAGAGAAGCTAGATCAAGTAGCAAGCTTGAATTGGATCATTGGTGGGACTGTAAAAAAAAAAATTCTTTTGGCAACATTCTCTATTGTTTGTTCTTATTCACACTGTCCTATAACTTTATGTGAAGATTGAGTAGCAGATTTTACATACAGTTTCAAGTATTATTCCTAGAAGTTGTACTCTTTAAAAAAAATAAAATGAATAAATAAATATATATATATATATATATATATATATATATATATATATATATATATATATTATTGATATTTCACAGAGAGGAAGAGAGAGGGATAGAGAGTTAGAAACATCAATGAACAAGAAACATTGATCAGCTGCCTCCTGCGCACTCCCCACTGGGAATGTGCCCACAACCAAGGTACATACCCTTGACCTGAATCGAACCTGGGACCCTTCAGTCTGTAGGCCAACTCTCTATCCACTGAGCCAAACCAGTTTCAGCTAGAAGTTGTATTCTTAAGCAAATTTAAAGTAAAGAGTAACAATAATGAGCAGCAAAGCAATAAAACTAGTTCAAGGTTGTTTATATATCCCTTTATATTGATCATGAATTGCCTCAACTCTCCTTTTTGTTGTCTGGTTTATGGTGTAAATAATTATATTGAATAGAGATATTTCAGCAAAGGGAAAGGAATGTTTGAGCGTGATTGTTAAGGAATTTAGAGGTAAATGATTTTACCAAAATACTAGAAAGAGATACCAAAGACAATTGTTCTATAACTCAGAGTTATAGAGCACAAAGTGCCTATCAGGAAACCCAAATCAAGAAAAAAATCACAAAAGTGAGTAGACTGTGTGATTGTTGGGTCATCTGGCATTTAATTTTCACACTTTGAACGTCACTGCATGGCACTATATTAAAGTTTATTACTTTTGCTGTTCTTGATTAAATTATAAAAACCAGCAAATAAGAGGAATTGAAATGTTAATACCAGAATTTGTTGGCTTAATTTTCTATTCTGGGTGAAAAATCATAGTTTTTCTCCTCCTCACCTCCACTCCCCCCAAAATACATCCTATCTAATAAAGAACAAATATGCTAATTGACTGTCACACCCTCACAAAGATGGCAGCACCCACAGCCACAAGATGGTGCCCAGTCCCCTCAGCCCTGTGGAGGCAGCAGGTATGTGGCATGGCCAGACTTGCCCCCAGGTGGTTCAGCTGTTCCATGTGCCTACCTTCAGATCCTCCCAAACCCCTCAGCCCCCCAGTCACCCAGGGTTGGCCCGAGGTCCAGACAAGCCACATATAGCAGCTGCTGAGCCGTTCAGGGCTGCCCGAGGCTCAGGTAACCAGGGCAGGCCAAAGCTTACACTGTGGGCAGTGGCAGTAGTAGAAGTGTGATGGGGGCCTGAGGGCTCCCAGACTGTGAAAGGGGGCAGGTAGGGCTGAGGGACCCCACCAATCCAGTCCTTGAATTTCCATGAACCAGGCCTCTAGTTATTTCATAAACACTGGGGTAATTTACAAGGAAAATTTGACCTTAAATAAGTTGACTGACATCTTGTTTGAGCCTTTTTTTTTTTTTTTGAAAAGGACATTACTTAAGGCCATTGGAGAAAATGTTTTAAACAAAATACCTTTCATGAAATTATAGAGTAAGGGGAATATTTATATATATATATATATATATATATATATATATATATATATATATATGGCAACATAGATGATCTCAGGGTAGTGAGACACTATTCCATGCCACAAAACAAATTCAGGGGGAATATGGTGCTTTTTAAAGTTAAACAAGTATCGTGTAATAATTCACTTATTATATGCAACAAGATGTGTCTATGGCCACAAGTCTCCTCTTCTTTCCTTGACGTCAGTAGCTACAAAGGGTGAGTAACATGAAAGATGAAATAAATTTTATGCAAAGACATAAAATTCAATTTTCCTTTCTGTTCCAAGGTACTCTGGTCATATTGTATTCTGATATTAAAAGAGGACAAAATAATCCCAGTTAATTCCTTTACTTCAAGCAACTGAAATATTATAAAAGCACATTGATCCACAGGATTTTTTTTTTCTAACCTAGTATTAGACTTTAAGATTTTTATGCCTTGCCTTTGTTATTCAGAGTTTAAAATTTTCAATGTAATCTTATAACTGCCTGATAATAACATGCAAACAAAATCTTCTGAATTTCTTCATCAGAAAAAGCCACAAAATAGGCCTTAGGAAAGCATTTGCTTATTTCTGCAACCTTTACAAAATATTTATGCCCAGCCAGGGTAGCTCAGTGGTTGAGTGTCAACCTATGAACCAGTAGGTCATAGTTCGATTCCTGATCAGGGCATATGCCCATGTTGTGGGCTTGATCCCCAGTGGGGGATGTGGAGTAGGCAGCTAATCAATGATTATCTCTTGATGTTTCTATAACTCTTTCCCTCTCCCTTACTCTCTTATATTTTAAAAGATATAATTTAATCATAACTTATATTTTGTGCATGGGTTTAAATTTATACATATGAAATTACAATAAATGTGCCCCATCCCTACCCCAAGAAGTGGCGGGATTGGACTCTTTCTAATAGTTCAGTAAAATATTTTGTAAAACCATAAACTCTTACAAATATCTTGTAACCAAAATGTTAAGTAATTTCACAAAAAATGTCTTCATTTTATTCTTGCAAAAAAACTGTCATGTGGTAAGTTAAGTCTTTGAAGACGAAACAGAATTTCACTGAAACTATAAGAGGTATTCCTTATAGTTTTTATACTACGTGATTGTAAGAAGTACAGACAATAAATTCTTTTAAGTTTTGTGGTTTGCAAAGGAAATAATGTTGGGTTTTTGTATCTTTTCTTTTAATTGGTGCCTTAGTATCTTCAAAATCAAGTCTAAACTCTTTGGCCCGGTATTTTGCCATCTTTATACATCATCTCTTGCCATTGTAGTCACAAACTATGTCCTCCAGCCAAAGATTGCTACTTTATTTATTATGTTCAGAACTTCCTTCACAGTGTGCACTTGGGTACTCACCCTTATCCCATCATGCCCACATATAAACAATAAAGATAGTTTAAGGTTTATCACATCTGCCTCTCCTTTATAAACCATTCTTTTATTTCTTCTCCTTCCAAAATCTGAAAGAAAAATGTGTCTACCTCGAGGACTTCAGACTAATTTTAAGTACTGCTTTTATAAAACACATTATTTTTTATTTTTTATTATAGTTGTTTAATTTCAAGTCTATTCTAAGGCCTATGAAGTTTTAAATGGTTGTTTATTATGAATGAGCATCCTACAGGACAACTTTGAATTTAATGTGCCTTTTGAGTGTGCATGATCACACTATTTTCAGTCATCCGCACTTTCATAAGAATTGCTATAAAAAATTCTTATATAAAAAATAAAGTATATGGCCAAAGCTGGTTTGGCTCAATGGTAGAGCGTCAGTCTGTGGACTGAAAGGTCCTGGGTTCGATTCTGGTCATGGGCATGTACGTTGGTTGTGGGCACATCTCCTAGGGGGTGTGCAGGAGGCAGCTGGTTGATGTTTCTCTCTCATCGATGGTTTATAGCTCTCTATCTCTCTCCCTTCCTCTCTGTAAAAAATCAATAAAATATATTAAAAATAAATAAAGTATATGTACACAAATATATGTGCCAACTGCCATTGCTCAGTTCCTTATAATTTCCTCTACATCTTTGAGCAATTTAAATGAATGTTTATATTCTTTGTGTGCTAGTTCCAAATCTAGGTCATTTCAAAGTTGGTCTTCATTGATTGCCTTTTCTCTTAAGTATGGGTCATAATTCCTGTTTGTTCATGTCTAATAAATTTGGATTATGTTCTGAAAATAATAAACAATATGTGGTGGAGACTCTGTATTTTGTTATGTTCCACTGAATAATACTAATATTTTGTTTCATGGCTGAATTCAAACTCCAAATTCTGCAATATCGATAGTTCAGTTATTTTAACTTTGTGCTGCTTAGAATCTACCCAGATAGCCATCACTCAGAGGTCTGTTAAAGACTTAAGCAGAGTTTATTCACAAGATACAGGGTTCCCTTTATGCAACTCTTCTTTTGTCCAGCTACTGAGTTCACCGTTAACTTGTCTTTTGTTTTCTCTTGCTAGATAGATTGCAAATTTCTTTTGGGATTTCAGCACCCCTGCTAAGATGGTAACTTTTAGCCCAGCATATTTAATCTCTCACTGTTTCCTCCACCTCTCCTCTGTCAAGTGTCATATCTTCAGTCAGCGCATTTCATAGTGAGCAATAGAACTCCCGGTCTCCTGGTCAAACTCCCATGGGAACACTTTGCATATTAGCCTTTTATATACTATCTAATAAAAGAGTAATAGGCAAATTAACTGTACCTCTGCTATACCCACCACCCACACCCACCAGCCAATCAGGAGTGAGTATGCAAATTAACCCAACCAAATTGGCTGCATCCACACGGAGAGAGCAGGAGGGAGGCTTGGGTTTCAACTGAGATGGAGGAAGTCAAGCTTTCCACACACCCTGGCCTGACTTGGCCTCTGTTTAAGGCTACAAAATTTCAATTGCAGAAGATAAATAAATCCCAACAGAAATGGCTGCCACCACTGAGGGAGCAGAAGGCTTGTCTCTGCTCCAGGCTACAAAGTTTCAATTGTATAAGGTAAATAAATTCCAGATACCAGGGCCTCCACTTGGGTTGCCAGGGGCATGGCCAGCCTGCAAACCACCACAGGCCCCTCACACAGGCCACCTCATGCCCCAAAGGAACCCTCACTCTGATCCGGAACACCCTTCAGGGCAAACCAGCTGGCCCCAACCCATGCATCAGGCCTCTATCCTATTTAATAAAAGAGTAATATGCAGATTGACCATCACTCCAACACACAAGATGGCTGCCCCCTTATGGTCAAAGATCCTGCCTCCATGTGGACACAAGATGGCTACCACAAGATGGCCAGCAGGGGAGGGCAGTTTGGAGGGACCAGGGCTACAAGGAAGAGCAGTTGTGGGTGATCAGGATAGCAGGGGAGCTCAGCTGTGAGGGACCAGGCCTGCAAAGGAAGGCAGTTGGGGGAGATCAAGCTTTCAGGGAAGAGCAGTTAGATGTGACCAGACTGGCAGAGGAGGGAAGTTGTGGGGACCAGGCCTGCAGGGGAGGGCAGGTAGGGGTGACCAGGCCCACAGGGAGGGCAGT